GTGTGTGTGTGTGTGTGTGTGTGTGTGTGTGTGTGTGTGTGTGTGTGTATAATATAGTCTTTTGTCTGGTGAAAAAATTTCCCTGGAACCTAACCCCCCACATTTACATTATTTCTTATGGGGAAATTGGATTTGCTTACCATCGTTTTGCTTAAAGTCGCATTTTTCAGGAACATAACTACAACGTTAAGTGAGGAGTTACTGTAAACAGATACATATAAAATGTAGGTGCTTAAGATTGAAATATGTTCTGTGGACAGCTTTCAGTCCATAGCTATGTCCTGTGGGTCCTTTGACCCAACCCTTGTTGTGGGATTTGCAGTCGTTCTACTGCAGCACTAATAGCATTGCTGCTCTACAAAGTGCCTATCCAAAGCAGCATGATGGCTTTGTTTCTTGGCTGGGTTTCCTGTAGAGGCCAGCTCAGTCCTGACTTGGCAGGCACTTTAACTCAAACATGGGTGAATGGATTAAAGTGGAGATGGAGGGAATTTCCTTACTTTGAATGAAATTCATTCCCTTCTCTGGATATTACCCAACCATGTACTTACCTGGGATAACCTGCTAGCAACACAATGATAATTTTGAAGAGCACTTTATGTGCCTTTGCAATGCACTAGAATGCACACACACAAAAAATCCCAAGGGGAGACACTCAAAACCACTCATAAGGCTTCTGCAAATTATTCATTTTGAACAATGGAGAGGAAGGAAGGGAAGAATGAAGGAGACAGAGATATCATTTGTCACTAGCTGAAGCTAATGGTGTAAGCAGTCTGCAGGATTCTAAGGGCAGTCTACACTAGAAGACTGCTGTAGCCTGTCTGCTGAAGATGCTCTATGCCAATGGAGCTCTCCCATTGGCATAATTACTCCAACTCCCCAACAGGCAGAAGCTATGCCAGAGGGAGAGCATCTCCCCCTGACATAGCATCTGTGTGGACCACGCTTAGGTCACTGTAACTTGTGTCACTCAAGGGGATGTCTTTTTCACACCCCCGGGCAACCTAAGTTACATCAACTTAAGCGGTAATGTAGAACTGCCCTAAGTGGAGTTGCACATTAAGAGCACATTAGCCCAGTACTCTGGGATCTGCACTGGATTCCAATATATTTCTGGATAGAATTCAAGATGTTGGTTTTAATCTATAAATCCCAAAGAGTTTGAGACCTCTGGCTTGTGCACACAGGGAAGTTAGTGAGCAATAAGCTAGGGCGTGAATTTGAAGTGTATTAGTTACTCCGAATTAAATCCCCCTGTGGACACTCTTACTGAGCACTAAGAATTCCCTCCAGTGGTTTAACTTAGCATATTTTGTGCATCGTGCATTAAGCTAATGTCCACAATGGCACTGTTAGTGCGTGGTAAAAATGTCCATAGTGAGAGTTAGTGTGGAGTAATGAGTGTGCACTAGCTACTGTGGACTGCATCTCTCCCAGTCTAGTTCTGGCAGAACCAAAATCAGCAGAAGCACTTGAGCTGGAGCTCCGTCAATATACACAAAAGGGGGCTGCTGGCAGAGTATTCTCTGATGGGGTCATTGATTGTAGAACTCTCTTCTCCACCCTTGGTCCTTCAGAGCTCAGATGCATTAAACTTCTGGGCATCTATTTAATCCCCTTTTTGTTCAGGTGGAAGTGGATATGTTTATAAGCAGTCCTTTATGTTACAATTTTTAAATGTATGGGAGGATATGTGCCCAGAGCCCTGGATGGACATCTATAGTTTTTAAAGTTTGAAGAAATCAATAAAATAAGTAAAATGTACTCAGGTTCCAAAATGACTAATAAGGTCCTCAGGGTGCCTTAGACAGAAACTGGCCCCTCGTCAAAAGTTAGCAAGCTATTCAGTTCACTAGGTCACCAAGGTCTAGGACCAAAACTGGCTAAACAACAAAGTCCAACTTCTCGCACTATTCAGAAACAATCTATTTGCTGATAAATCATGTCACTAGTATTTTGTAGCTGTATAATAATTTTATGGAGAAGTAAATTATAGAACCTTTTTCTACCATTTATATTTTGAAATGTCCTTCCATGTAAAAGAATGCTATCTTCAAGGATATCTCCCAGTTGATATAGCTGCCAACTTATTAGTACAGTTTACCATTATATTTTGATTTTAAATTTAAAAGGCAAAATAAAGCATATCTGTAATAAATACTCACCTTTTCAGAATGCTTTCCGCAGTTTGTCTTCCCTTTTCCACTGCCTTTGGCCCTATCACTGGGCAGACAGCTGTAGCTCTAAAACCATCCAGGTAAGTGGCATTTACCTAGTAATTAACGGTTATAAAATGAATTGAGGGATTTCTCATAGTTTACCGTAAAAGATATTTTTTTCACTAGATATTTTTTCTTCCTGCATTTTCCTCCACCCTTCAAACACTTCTAGTCTATTAGCATGCCCCTCCACTCACCACTTACCAAAGCTATCCATATTTAGCTCTTTCCTCAGAGGTCACAAAATAAAGCCTAAGTTTTTGTTTGGGGTTTTCGGGGGGCGAACGGGGGACGGGACGGGACGGGACGACAGAGGGGAAGAGTTATGTAAGAAAGACATCTGTCCATCCATTATAATGGTATCTGAGATTCTGAGTAAACAAAATGTTCTACAAAACTAATACATAAATATATAAACAATTCTTATTAATGTCATATTGATTTTTCAGAACATTAAGTAAGGCCTCCCATTTTAAATGATATTTATCATTTTAATTACAGTATATATTCTAAAAATGTCTCGAAACAAGTATATTTTAAATGGCCTATTGACTTATTTACAATTATTTTAGTACTATTTTAATGAAAAAGAGAGTGCATATTTTAATCAAATTTTCTTTATCTAAAATATTTTGTTGGTTCATTCAAATGTGGAATTAAATGATTCTGACACTATCCTTATATGAAATGTAATAATTTGTTTATCCAGTGTCATTTTTAGAATATATTTTTTCTTTTAAAAATGATATTTTTTTAAATCAAAATAGGCAATGATTAGTCCACAGATTTCATACTCACTAATGAAATCTGAGTCTGGAAAACAAAGCAATCTGAGTTCTATCAGTGGACAATCAGAAATCCTCTCCATTATTTATTTTTAAAGGTATTCTTAAGGTTCAAAAACAACTGAAACTTTTCCCCCCAAACTTGAGGAAAAAGTTTGCTCCCAGGCACAGACCACACAGAACGAGTTTTTTTATTCTAACATTACGTAATTAGAAATCTTGATCTAATACCCATGGCGAATCCAGTTATAGAGTATGTAGCCAATACTGTGACAGTTAAGGACAAAATATATTCCTTTATAAAGCAGACATAAAGATGATTATTAGAAAAATAATGCATGAGTGGAAAACTTAAGGATTGTTTGCACACCTGAGAAAAATGAAATAGGAGCTATTCATTTATCTGAAAAAGAGTTAGTAATATACTCCAACCCAATGTCTTTAGAGATTACTTTGGCTTCTGCACTGAGGTCACCTATGTCCAAAATCATACCTCCATCTTCTTTGAAAACAATACTGCTTATTTTTTAAATCTTAAATACATTTTATAAAGTGGTCACTTAAACACTACCTTTAGATATTTTTATTATATTAAAAAAAAATTAAAAAACAAACTTTCAAACTGGTAGAAATATTTTAAATGTAATCACTGGACTTTTAAAAAGGTATGTCTGAGCTATAGTTTATCACACAAACAATAGTGTCAGCATATTTGCAAATTATACATCTCTAAAAAAGAATTTAAAAGTTTTAAATGGATCCAGTCAAATTAACTCTGCTTTGCTATCTCACTATTAAGAGCAGTTTTAATTTATGGATCCAATCTTGTTCCCGCTGAAAGTCAGTTGAAATTTCGTTATTGAGTTAAATGGGATTAGGCTTGCCCTATTTGTACTTTGATGTAGTTGCCTAAATTGGTGTCCCTGCAGGGAGTAAAGACTATAACAACACATAATTAAAAAAAAGCTTTGCACTTATGTAGCATCTTCCAATAGGGGGATATCAAAAGACTTTACAAACATTAATTCATTAATCTTTCACAGCACCCTTATCAAACTGTAAAGAATTATCTTGATATAAGTGATTATGCAGTGTTTTGTCTTTGAGAATCATGCGCTTAATATGTTTCACATTGAAGCAAGACAAAAAATAATGACAACTATAATTAAAATATGATTTTGTGACGGAAAACAGAATTTTATAATTAAAGAACCATCTCAATCTTAATTACTATGGTTTACTGTGGACTTCCCCAAAGACTTATAACATAACCTCAATTTTGTATATAGCAATTTCACTTACGTGCGTTAATATACTAGGTGTGGAAAAATAAGGGTTTCACCTGGTAGTAGTATTGCCTTTTTCTCCAAAATACCAACATTTCATAAATCAAGAGCATTTCATTCTATATAATTATCAAAGCAATAAGAAAAGAACCTTATAAAACGTTGAAGGAGGTGATCCTTTTGCTCCCTGAATTTTCACTGCCCCACCTTCAATACCTACAATGGTTAAAAAACATCTATTTTAATGACTTCAATATAATTTCTGAGAAAGTACTATCAATTCACCTTATGTGACACAATACAAAGCAAAAAATGTTACTGATACTCCTATCATCAAGATCCATGCAAAAGAGAAAGTTTTCTATTGAACAGCCACGTCTGCATTAGCAACTCAAGCATAAAATCTATGGAGTATAAACCCATGGACTATCTTCAATTTGCCTTTTAACATAACTGTTGAAATATTTACACACAGAATATTTGAATATGTAACACATGACATGGCCTTAGGACTCAACTGTTGTCTTCTGTTCGAATGCAAGGATGACACACATCTACAATTCTCAGCAAATTCAAGGATTGAAGCTTTTTTTTAAAAAAAATTCATATTAAGCATATTAAGGTGAAATTCTTGGATCTTTGGGATTGTGACCCGATCCCTTCCCCTGACTGAGGAGGCCTTCAGAGAAAGGGTGTTGGAAAGAGAGCAGCAGGTGGCAATGTACCAGACCACTGACTGCAGTTGGCTGCCTCACTTGGGAAGATTAAGGAATTAATGTTAGGAGAAAGACCAGAGTCTGTCTAAGAAACATGGTTAGAAAATGTGTCCTGGCTGGAGCTGGATGGCAAAAGTTGTATAGATGTAGGCCCTATGTAGCCTTAATCTTTTTGTTGATAACAGTAACAAGATAATCTAGAGAACATTTCAGGGCAAATAATGTACTTGACAATGCACATCATAACACGAGCGAGGAATCAGTCAAAGCACTGCCTGTCTAGTCTTAGGGCTTGATCCTGTACCCACTGAAGTCAACAGCAATGTTCCCATTGACTTCAGTAATGCAGGATCAGGGTCTTACTCAAATACAGTATGTCTAAACCCACCTACATCTAAATAAGATGCAGTTTATCTCTAACAAATCTATGCCTGCGAGTGTTTAGCAAAATATGAAAGCCATCATACAAATACTCTGAACTTCGTAAAGACCAAAAATAAAGAGAACTTCTTCAGACATTTTCTGAAGAATGAAAATTTACAATAATCTTAAATGTCACTGTCAAAACTACAACAGCAAGGTTAATTTAGTGTTAATTTAAATTGCCTCTCTGCTATTATAGAATAATATCTCTACAATCAGATGGAAGATTTGCAGGATTTTTACATGAGGTGAAAAAGAAATGCATGACATCCATCAACAAAAAGAAAACAGAAAGAAAACCTCTTAGTTCAAGCGAGTATTGTAACTAATCCTGCAGTACAACAAAATCAGCAATGTGAACATCAAAAATAGATAGCCTGCCCTGTTCTTTCTGGTGTACGTGTCAAAGCACTTAAAACTAAAAGTATTTAAGAAATCTGCCTATCTTCCATCTGTTATATTTCTAAGAGGAGGACTAACTGAAAGTTCATGTGAAAGTTCATTTTAAGTTCAAACGTGTCATATCGGGTCATTTACAAGCTAAAAGTTCATTGGAAGGTTAAGGTTCTATTTTTTAAAAAGACTAGTGGCTAAAAGCAACAAGCTGGTCTTATCAGACTATTTGTCATTTGATTATGTTGCATGAGCAGAAGGTTCACTGTACAATTTTAAGATAGAAATGTTTTGCTTAAAAATAAGGCTAATATGAAGTTTAGGATTTTATCCTAATGAGTTTTTAGTTTGAGTTTTAATTGTTTTGGGTTTTATAAGGGAACTAGAGTCCCATATTGGATAAGATCCATAAAAAGCAAATTCCTTTTCACACTGGTTTGTCTATAAAACATGGGGACTAAGAACTAAGAGATGTCAAGTTACTCTAAATGAGCAGTTTAGCAAGGTGGCTTGTCCACACTTCTGATCTTGAAGTCTAGTATTCAAATTTGGGCCTGATATTAAAGTATTTTGGAGGGTAGTGCAGTGGGATTTCTGTAACAGCTGTTCTCTAGCTGAGAAATCTTACCCTTTTAAAGGTGACACAGTCAAGTGGCTAAAAAATGAAGGTTTATCATGTGTTGTCTTAAGCAGAGTGGTGGCTACCCATTGCCACTAGAGAGAGAGACTGTGTGTGTGTGTGTGGCAGTGGGGGTGGGGGGGCTGCATCAGTAACTAGTAACAAAAGGAGGGTGAACTGGATTAAAATGTAGTGAAATCTAATAGAGATGGGGAGTACTTCCTGAAAGTCACAGCAAAAATATTTTTAAGTGCTACAGAAATACATGATTTATTAAACTGGGTAATTATTATATATGTATTTTAATAAAGAAAAAAAATTAGGTTACTCAAAAATCTGCTGAATTGCTCATAGCTAATCTAAATTTCCAAAGAATGGCACAAAGCAATCTGGATATCCTTATGAGACAGCCCATCTTAATATCAGGCTTCAAAAGAACAGACTTAACAAGTAAAGTTACATGGAAAAAATGGAAACTACAGTAACTACTTTAGTCTGCCAACATAACTTACTGAATAGATTTCCTCAATATAAGGGTCCTCTGCATGCAACAGCCACTAACCTGGAATTTCAGTAATGGAAACTTGAGAAAAGTCACATGTGACATCTGGTAAGAGATAACACTGAGGGTTGCCAATTTCATACACCAACTGTTCAGCCACGGTGCCAAAAGAGATTAGGCCCCCTGTGTCAGGTGGTTTGGATAGAGTAAAGCATCCATCAGAAGAACATTCTACTATGGGAAACCCCATGTTATGCCTAAAGAATTAAAAACATTAAAAATGTTAAGAGTTCAGAATAAAAGAAAAAATATTATTAATTACTTCATAAGTAATAACTAACACACACCAACATTTTTATACAAGCAACTAAATTAAAAATTAGCCAATAAGATACAGCACAGAGCCTTTATAGACACAAACTCAAGAAAATACTGAATAAACTGTCAAGACAATCAACTAACTGTATTACCTGGGCTAAGACAGATAAGACCACACACTTACATAAATTATGTTGCCCAGTACTAAAATGTAGAAGTAACCATAGACAGAACCCCCAAAGACACCAACGACTAAAAGAGGGGTGAAGGAGCCGCCATAGACTACGACACTAAACTACACTACGCCATAGATTATGGCAGTGGTTGAAGAGGTGAGAAGAGAATCAGAGGAGTAAAGACTCATGAAAACCCAAGGAAGAGGTAGAACACAGACAGAAGGTCATGACCAACAGTTCTGAAAGTAGACAGGCAGATACAGGAAATCAGAATGGAAAACCGGCCCTACAACTTGGCCATGAGGTCACTGGCGATTTATTAGAGCAGGTAAAGTGGAATGGAGGGAGGAGAAAACAGGAGTGTACTAGAGGAGCAGTCAAAACAGCAGAAGCAGACTGGGCTCAAGGATCTTGGAGGCAAAGGGACGTAGGGAGATTGAGTTAATTATATCTTTTGAAGATACTTTTGTGGCCTTTGTAATAAATAATAAATGGAAAATCAGCATCAGAAAACTGGAAGTATTTAAAGACACACATAAATCATAATTCAGTGCAGTAAAATAATAAAACCCAGATGGGTAAGAGAAAACAGTGAGGCAAACAGGAGAAGAGCAGTATGACACAGAGAGAAACAGAAGGTTTTCATAAAAAACAATGTAATTGCACAGGGAAAATGATAAAAAAACCAGCAATAAATACAGTTCCAACACTGCTAAAATGTGGTTGACTCTTCATGGACATCTGGACGAACTCTTGAATACAGTAGAATCTCAGAGTTATGAACACCTCGGGAATGGAGATTGTTTGTAACTCTGAAATATTTGAAACTCTGAACAAAACGTTATGGTTATTCATTCAAACAAACGTTATGGTTATTCACAGTACTGTACTGTATTTGCCTTTTTTTTTTTTTTTTGGTCTCTGTTGCTGCCTGACTGAATACTTCCAGTTCCAAATGAGGTGTGTGGTTGACGGGTCAGTTCGTTACTCTGGTGTTCTTAACTCTGAGGTTCTATGGAAGTTGCTTTCCCAGTTTTAAAGGCTTTTCTTTCTGTTCCAAAGAACTTCTCTGAATAGAAGCAATGATCAAGAAAGACACTTAAAACAAAACCAACATGTTATAGCTTCTAAAGAGGCCATCTGGCTCGACTCCTCTCATAAGAAGGTGGAGATCTGTCCAAAAAATTTTTTTCCAAAGAGAGGAGAAGAACAAATGGTGGCACAAGAGGAGCTAAGGTGCTATATAGTCCCCCAAAGCTTCTCTCTCAGGGCTTGTTTTTGATAGAGGCTGAGCATCACAATTCTCATTGAAATCAGTGATCATCAAGCTCTAAATGCATACTTAAAATTGTTTTGCCTTTGGAACAGTCCTCCTGAACTAATTATGTTCTTGTTCTAATATAGGCAGTGTACTCCACACAACAAAATTGGTTATAGAAAAGTTAGATGCACAAAGTCTGGAGAACAGATATACATGAAGTTAGAAGTAAGCAAAGAAACCAGTGAACTCTTAATTGACATTTGTAAAAGTTCACAGGCGTTTGGAGAGATTCCTTAGCATGGGGAATCTGCAAACATAATTCCATTATTTAAATAAAGGATTAAGAGACAAACTCTGTGACTATAGATCAGCAAGGATTGTTCAGGAAACTTAGAAAAGCCCACCATGAATTCAAACAGGAAAGGTAATACTTCATTAATCTGGTCTTTGAAGCTATTTTAGCCATAAACAGATAAGGGAAATTCACTGAACATAGTGCACTGAGATATTGAGAAGTTATTTGATATGGTCTTAGATCAGTAAATAATGGAAAAGGAAATTAAATAATCTTTAACACTTACTTTGCACTTTATAATGTACTGTAAAAAACACAAACATTAACTTCACAACATTGCTGTGAGGCTGTACACTACCACATGTAATTATCTCAAATTGCAAGTAGGGGAAACAGACACAAAGGAAGGCAAAGTGACTTGTCTGAGGCCACACAGCAAGTCAGTAGCAGAATCAGAACTAGAACTCAGGAGCTCTTGGCTCCTGCTCCATGCTTACTTCACTGGACCATGCTGCCTATATGTGCTGAACAGAACAAACGGCTTAAAGCAGTAATGCAAACATCTTGCCTGTAGATTGGATCCTGCCTGCTTGAGGCACCCAGGCAAATCCAAATTCTGCAGAATGGAAGTTTTCATTTCCTCTGGGATCTCCTAACAACCTAGTCCAGCACAGCCACAAGACTAGCAGGAGCAGGGCAAGGAGGAACTGGAACATCCCAGCTTCAACCCATCCTACCACCACAGCACCAATTAACTATGGCCCTACTATACACATGGAAATAATGATCTTCTCATACTTCGGCCTAATCTGGCCAATTTCAGATGGACATTAAAGGCAATTCTTCAACCCCAGGACTGTATTGCTGATGAAATTCAACTTTGCACTCTAAACCACTGAGACACTGAAGCTTGTCAAAAAGAAAAGCTTGCAAAAAATTAACATTGAACAAATTGCATTTTTCCCTACAAACTTCATTCTCAAAAACTGCTCAACCATTTTTGCTCAAACTTTCAAAAAACAAAAACAATCAAAACCCACCCTGAGGCAAAGACAAAGCATGGAAAATTTCAGCTCACAAGGTTAAATATCTGACAAAGTCACACAACTAAAAACAGCATTATAATGGAAAATGTCAGGCAATCTAATAGCAGCTATTACCATTCAAGCCCTTCAAAACATAAGAGAAAGGGAAAAAGTTTTGTGAGGGCTGTAAATGGCCCTTCCACTTGTTCACTCAAAGTCATGTTTCTGGAGGCTTTTAGCCTGGACCCTGTGTAACATGAGAAGGTCGTCAGACAACTTTAGACATGTATCCCTTTTGCTTCAATGGAGGGATGATATAACTTTTGTGAATATCCATGTAGAAGTTACATGTCCAAAAGTGGAGCATTGTGTATTGAAAATGTTTGTTGGGGCAGAAGCTAAAGTATCCCTGGGTGACTCTCCCTGATTATATCTTCAGTAATCTCCAAGAGGTTTATTTTCATATTCTGAAGTTTTGGAAAGATAAGGTCATGATACATTTCAGTATTTCCACGAGGAATATTGATCTCCTTGTGGAGCGAGCCAAGATCCAAAATGGACTACCTGCCATTGTCTCCCTTTGTACCACAAAGTCTTGTCTCCTTCAAAAAAAGTGTCTCTCCACAGAACTGGTTCAAGGATTCCAATGTGTAGGAAATGGACTGTTGTACCCTTCACCATCTAAGAAGGTTGCATTGATAGTGTCAGTTGATTTTAATTTACTTTGCACCAATTTTCTGAGACGATTCACTTCCAGCTGTGGGTCCACCTGTAAGCACCCCACTTTTCACATGTGGTCACTAATTGTGTGTTCCTCTTTTTATAGGTCCCTGACCTGAGACCGTGAGGTCTGATTTGCAGAACCGCTGAGCACTTGTAGCTGCAACTGAATGTGCTTTGAACATACTAAGTGTTATATAATGAAAAGTACTCTGAAAAATCAAATTGGACACCCAAAATTAGTGGAAACTTTTGAATTTAATCTCTCAATTCACCAAACATATAATGGAGATAATGCCCACTCATTTCCCAGGGGAGCTGTGAAAATGAATTCATTAATGTTTGTGAAGCACTCAGATACTATAATGATGAGCACCAGAGGAAAGCTTATAAGAACATTAATAATTCTGTCTTCAGAGCAAGGATTGAATAGTGTCATTAAATAAGGCGTTCACACATTGAAAAGAAAACAAAATATTGAATAGCTGCTCATTAAGTGAGCATCATCCAATCTGTACACTGAATGAGATGGGCCCTGTGGGAAAACAATATGTGATCATGTAATAAAAGACTGTGTCACAAATGCATAGGCACAAAGGGGTCGAATTAAGGTTACACAGATAACCTTAATTCTGGCATTTCCTAACTTTTGAGTGCTTGACTTTGCAACCCTTAATAATGTTCTTTTAATGTTTTAAGAGTGGTTTTAATGTAATTTCCTCAGTTTTTAAAAAAGGAAACAGAAATTTCATTATGTAGCATCATGTTAAGAGCCACATGGGTCATCCACAGTACCAACCTCAGCAACTTGAACTAAAGCAGTAACTGATCAAAGCAGTAAGTTGTAGGGCTTCTGTTTTTCAGCGCTTATTAATTTCATTTTTCAGGGTTTATTTTTAGCAATTTTTGAGCTTCATGTAGATATCCAAAAATCTGGGGCTGGGTTTTTCAGAGTTCTCTCTTTGTATATGTTGTAATGAGTAATGTATATTATATACACATTATTCTTTACAGTAGTATATATAGTCATGAGTAATCTCTTTGTAATGTTCCCTATAGAATTTTAATGTATTACTGTTTCACACAGCACTACATTAAAGCGGACTAGGGAACCTTTAGTGTACACCAGCAGGGTCTACATGGACCAATAAATATGTAACACGTCAGTAGGCTTTAGAAATCACATGCCCATAGTTGGCATTACGGCTCTGTGTAGACAAGCCCTTCCATACAAGTAACTATTTCCAATGTTTTTCCAATACTAACTGGATAAATGCTTTTTTTTTTATTCAAGGCTATTTTATTGGTTAAAACCAAAAATAAAAAGCCCTAGAAGTTGCTGTCCTCTAGTCAGCACTAGAGAGGAATGAGACACTTTGTCAGTGGATTTCACAGATGATACTTGCTGGCAGCAGAGGAATGGTGAGATTCAGGAATCTTGGGTTCCATTTCAGGCAATAGATGGGAGTTTGCTCTGGTGGGAACAGACTTCTTCGCATTCCCCACAAGCATGATCCCCTCTACCCTTTCCCCTCCAACCTGTCCCTGTCTCAATCCTGTCTCTACCTCACCACTGGCTCCTTGTCCCAGTCCCATTTTCCCCACCTCGTCAACCACAGTCTCCACTCCTCAGGCTTCTGATCCCAGTCCCAGTGTCCATGCCCAGTAAATCCTAACCTCAACCCTTCCAGACTCCTTATCCCAAGTCTCTTCCACACCCACTCTTCTGGCCTGGTCAGTCCCTCCAGTCCCAGTTCCCTCCACCATTCGCTGATCTGTCTCTCTCTCCCACCCATATTCTCCATGCCCTTCGCTGATCTGTCTCTCTCTCTCCCACCCATATTCTCCATGCCCATCTCCTCCCAGTTTCCCTGCCCAGGCTTCTCATCCAACCTCACTGCCCTCACCTCCTTCCACTTCTCATCCCAGTCTCTTTGCCCAGTCCCAGTTCTTCCCCTGCATCCAAGCTTGTCAAATCTGTCTCCCTTCCTTCCACCTCACAGATTCCCAGTTCCAGGCTCCTTGCCCTGCCAATCCCTATCTCTGCCCCCTGATTCCAAAGTCCCAGTCTCTGCCACTCAGGTACCTTGTCCCAGTCTACTATTACGCACTAATTCTATGCTACCAGCAGTCAGCACTAGTGTCATAGAAATACCATGATTTTAGATAGCCGTATATAAGTACATCAATATTCACAGATACATATACCCATACATAATGTGTGTATATACATACACACACCAAGGTAAGTTAACTATACCTATATACATGTACACGTATATAAGTACATCAGTATTCACAGATACATATACCCATACATAATGTGTGTGTACATGTACATCTCATGGAGTTTTATATATTTGAAACATGTTTTCCTTTTTTATTAAAACCATTCACCTCTGTTATTTAGCATTAAAAACTCCCAGAAACAAAGATCTACTAGCATTTTTACAGGAAACAGCATTTTCTTTGGCTCTCTTTAGATAACAAAGCTCTTTTGGAATCCAGTTACATAGGATTTTTAAGCAGTTTCATGGTACTGCAGGATACAAGGGGATATCCCAGTAAGTACGATTAGTTTTATAATGTTGTAAGCTGAACAGAACATCTTGTTACCACAAACACTAACTCTGTCACTTGATTCTCAGGCTAAACTGTACAATCATTAGGATTATTTTGTGTAGGAGAACACTATCCATTAATGAACAAGGGTCTGAAAAGAGAGTATCTGACCCTGCGAGGTGCTAACTCCTGAGGTACTGAATGCTCTCTCCTGAATGGGAGTTGGAGGCATTATGTAATGCCTTGCAGGATCAAACCCGGACTAAGAAATATATTTTGCAACAGAAAAAGCATAGCAGCCTGGGTGATCCAACTGAAGGATTGGCATAGCAGTTATAAAGTATACAATTGCCAGTATCAAAGAACACAGTGAGAAGACAACAGACAGTAGAGAACCAAGAATAATACCAGATCATTCTAAAAAGTAGAAGATACACATATATTTTAGAGAAAACAATACCAAGGACAACAAACATGCAGATAAATGCCCCACAGCTGCATTTATCAAAATCGATGACAAGACTCCATTTGGAGCATGACAGGCCCTATGTAGTCAGGAAAGATAATAGAAATACGGAGGTTGTGTATCTTAAAGAGGAAATATGACAAAATACACAGACAGGAAAAAGCACAGAGTAGAAAACTGGGCCTAATGGCTACACACAAACACTTTTATATCAGTATTACAGCTCCCTACCAGTCTGGAATAGTATGCCAGTCTGTGAATATTCCACCTGTACACTGAGCACCACATTCAATGAGATGGCCTGCAAGACTGGAAAACAAAGAACACTCCAATGAGTAACTACGTTGAAAAACAAACTGCCACTTATTCACAAATATAACAGTACAGTATAACCAGGGTTAAATAAGACAGAAGGGAACATGCTGGACACCTCCTTCATAGCTATTTGATGCAGTTTATATATCAAGGCCAATATTTTAAAAAATGACTAGTGATTTTGAGTGCCCAGCTTGGGGCTCTGAGGCTCCCTGCTGCACAGCTGGGAGCCTGGCAGACCTGGGAACCCCCAGCTAAAACCAAAGCTCCCAGGATTTCTAGGGACCCTACATCCACAGGGGACTTTCCAGGAGTTGGGCAGCTGGCTGGCCTATTTTGTTTGGAATAGTCAAACCAAAATGTTTCAATTTTTCCAAAACAAAAACTTTTCAGAATGTCTCTTCTGAAGGAAATTCTGACATTTCAAGTTTTCATACCAAATAAGGTTAAAAACTTTTTCAAAGTGTCAGAATTTTCTGCAGAACAGACATTCTGAGTTTTGACCAGCCCTGTTGATGAGTCCACTGGGATTAGCTGAGTATCACTCTTTCATACATTTCAAAGCCAAAAAAGGGACAAGTCTGATCGTCTAGTCCAGGGGTCTCAAACTCAATCTACCTTACGGCCAGTGCCAGTCCTCAAATCCTCTCAGCGGACCAATAATATCACTCATGCTGCCCAGAACTCACCCCCCAAAACTCCACCCCCCACCTGCCTAAGGCTCTGGGAGGGAGTTTGGGTGGGGGAGACGTGGGAGGGCGCACCTGGGTGCAGCAGGCAGAGCCAACGGAGAGACCCGGCCCCAAAATTGCTGGAGCCCCACGGGCCACATTAGGAAGGTTCTCGGGCCGCAGGTGGCCCGCGGGCTGGGACTTTGAGACCCCGGTCTAGTCTGACCTCTTGTCTACCACAGGCCATAGAACTTTACCCAGTAATACCTGCATCCAGCCCCGTTACCTTATTGTCTATAGCATAAGGTTTCACTCCTTTTCTCACAAAATAGACACAAACCATCTGTATAGTTTCTTAAGCATATTTTTAATTTTTCTCATTCTTTTATTAAAATTTAAGTTCCAAAGCTTCACAGAATGTTTACTTTTTTAAAGAGCTAATTTAATAAATTGTAGCATCCAAACAAGTGTATTCAACAAAATGGTCACCCACGTATTCTGTGTGTTGAAGCTCTTTAATAGCTCACTTAATTTTATTTTAAAAATCAAGATAATTTTATAACATTTTTAATAGTTATATCATTTACCTTCCAGCTGCTAGCAAGTCAAACTCATCCCTGTTCCAGCCAAACTAAAAAAAAAATACAAATACATTATGTACACACACACACACACACACACAGGCTTCAAGAGATAATAAAATTAAGTGGATGCTCTGAGAAATAAAGCATTGTCAGCAGCCCAATCTTCCTTGAAAATCTGAAGGGATTTTTGTTTGTTTTAATTGTATAATGCATTAATAAATGAAAATTAACACAATACAAGTAATGAAATATTCAGCATTACTCATTTTACTTTCTTAACAGAGAAGGCAAGCCATATATGAAAAACCACATACAGGCCACTCTGGGGTTAATAATGGCAACTTTCTGTGGGAGAAACTAAATAATTTTTCTCTCGCGTATTTAAATAAGTTATGGATAGAACTACTACTAATGACCTGAACTAAAAAAGGAAAAGTTTAGCTAGACATTCTAAGCATGCAGTCAAAAAAGTATAAGGTTTTAAAATGAACTATTTATTATTCTTATATTCATACACACACCTAATAATATTTAATATGCACCAAAAAGAAAAAAAAGATGTCAACATTCCAAGATGTGTGGTCATAAAGGTATTATGTATATATAAGTGCTCAAAAAACGCCACACATCCTGCGTTGTGTTATTTCTGTAGCTAGATTAATCTGAGAAACATCACATTAAAATTCAATTTAAAAAAAAATTGTTTAGCCCTAGAAAACAGACCAGCACAAGAAGAAAAAACTGCTCACCAGCATTTTATAAACAAAACAAAAAAGCACTTGTGCCACCTTGTGGCAAAGGACATTTTCCATCTCACAATCTTATGCACTACAATTTGAATGTAGAAAAGATTAAGAGTGAAATCCTGGCCCCATTGAAATCAACACCAAAACTCATATTGACTTTAATGGGGCCATGATTTCACCCAGTGTCTCTATTTTTTTGTACTTCAGATAAAACATTATTTGAACAATAAATCCCACATGGAACAAGAGAGTTTGCCATGACCAGGTGCCTCTTGAATGCCCCCCTATGGCCAGAGATCACTCTCTGGCACCCTGCCTGTGTATCCCCCTCTTCCGATCCCCTCAATAATTCACTCAGTCCAAAGTTAAGTAAGTCACTCCCGTTCTGGGAGTACAATTTATTTAGTCCTCTCAACACACACTGGTCCTCCAGACCCCAACCCCAATTCATTGTCTCTCCCCTCTTAGGTACGGAGTCTCCAGCCCTTCTTTCCAGAGCTGGGTCCCAATTCTCTCTCCCCCTCCCACACCCCCAATAAGAATTTGGCCCTCCAAGTCCCAACCCTGATACAATCTCCCCCACCACCACCACCACCACCGCCCCGCCCCACCAATTAGGTAGGGAGTTGAGTTCCAAAATTTCCTTCACAAAGCTGGGTCCTTCACATTCACAGCCAGGTAAAGCCTGGGAGGAGTTCAGCATCCTGGCTCAGGCTACTACATTCTGCTGGTATTATGGTCTTTCCTATAGGAGAAACCTTTCTCACTTCCTACTGTTTCTTTACAACAGGGGTTCTCAGACTTTTGTACTGGTGACCCCTTTCACACAGCAAACCTGAGTGCGACCCCCCTTATACATTAAAAATACTTTTTTATATATTTAACACCATTATAAATGCTGGAGGCAAAGCAGGGTTTGGGGTGAAGGCGGACAGCTCGCGACCCCGCATTTAATAACCTCGCAACCCCCTGAGGGGTCCCAACCCCCAGTTTGAGAACCCCTGCTTTACAATTACCTGAGCTTCTACTTTCATTGCAGCCATTTGGTGCCCTTTATAGGGAATTACCTGATCCAACTCAGGTGTGCCTCTTTAGTAATCAGGGTTGACTAGCCCCATGCCCTCCAGCCTAAGGGGACCATTTTAACATATGTATTAAATGAAACTGAAAAGATGGCATGTGCCTTATGGCATATTAATATGAATGTCAAACGACAAAGAAAAGGCCAAAAGCTACATGACCTCATTATTTTATTAAAATGTAGATACTAAATTAAAAAGAAAAGTACTTGACAATGATTACTAACCGTTCATTCATATGTATTCACAATACAGTACTATGAAAAGAGAGTTAAGCTCCAGTTATGAAAAAGCGACTTATACTTACCGAATGAATGAGTGGTCCTAATACAATGCCACTATCAACACATCTACCAGTCACAACAATATCAGCTCCAAGGTCAAGAGCCCTGCTTATTGGTCTTGCTCTGACATAACAAAAACAACATTTTTTGAGTATTTAATTCACACTTTTAAAATAACTATTTTTAAAATTTCTTTTAAAAATTAAATTTATGCCAGAGGTATCATATTACATCATGCACACATCCTTTATGATATTAACTTAAAAACACCCATTCTAGCTACCTAAATATGTTCATTATATAAAGGATCATTCATTAGAAACACAGGGCAAACTAATAAAGCTAGCCACCTAAATTATGCAGCCAAAGTTGTCTTCACACACACTAAGAGGTATGTGTTATCTGTGGGTTCCATTTTTTTATTAACAACAATAATATTTAGCACTCTGATCTTCAGATTTCAAAGTGTTTTACAGAGGAGGGCAAGTATTATTTCACAGAGGGGAAAATTGCAAAGGGCAACAAAAATGATTAAGGTTACGGAACAGCTTCCGTATGAGGAGAGATTAAAAAGACTGGGACTGTTCAGTTTAGAAAAGAGATGACTAAAGGGGGATATGGTAGAGATCCATAAAATCATGAATGATGTGGAGAAAGTGAATAGGGAAATGTTGTTTACCCCTTCATATAACACAAAAAATAGTGGTCACTGAATTAAATTAAAAGGCAGTAGGTTTAAAACAAACACAAGGAAGTACTTCTCCACACAATGCACAGTTCACCTGCAGAACTCATTACCAGGGGACGTTGTGAAGGCCAAAAGTATAACTGGGTTAAAAAAAAAATTAGATGAGTTCATGGAGGATAGGTCCATCAATGGCTATTAGCCAAGATGATCAGACAACCCCATGCTCTAGGTCGCCCTAAACCTCCAACTGCCAGAATCTGGGACTGGATGACAGGGGATAGATCACTCAATAAATTGCCCTGTGATGTTCATTCCCTCTGAAGCATCTGGCACTGGCCACTGTCAGAAGACAGGATACGGGGCTAGATGGACCAGTGTGACCATTTTTATGTTATGTTCCGCTGCCTCGTGTATAGCTCATTGCGACTTTTCCTTTTTTATATATTGAGGGTCAATAAGTAAACAAGCCAAGAGCAATTTCAGAAGAAAATATTGACTGACAAACTAAGAGAGCTCTCTTTCAATATTTTTGTTCCATCTAGAAAAAATATGTATGCTGCATTTAATACTTACTTACTATCTTTCCTTGAATACTTGAATATTTTCCTAGATGGTAAGATGTGCAGTCATGTAGTCTGCATCCAAGTCTGTGGAAACCATTTATTTAACGGGACCAAAAGAAAACTCCACTTTCACACAGCAGGAATGTGGATTTTTGCAGTAAGAAAATGTTTGAGAAGTTGAACAATTAGCTATTTTTGTTTGGGAGTTTGTTTGTTTTTTAAACATGTAATGACTTTTGGTGGCCTATGTGAAAGAAACAGGAGGACTCCCTGTGCACTTCACTGTGGGCAGGTGGCTATTTTTAAAAATTACCATTAGACTGGGCAGCCCTTTGGGAAGTCACAGCAAAGAGGCTAAGTGAGATGGATACTATTCTTATCCACAGAAGCTGTCCCTACGGAACAGGGTGAAAGCAAAATAGTGGGGCTATGTGGGGAATACTGAACTGCTTATGTTGTACCTGGTATGTTAGGAGATCACTATATATAGTAGGGGCTAGAACTCTGGCAGCTTTCATCAGCAGTAAACTTACAACAAAAAGCTTACAATATATTTGTATTCTTATCTGGTTATGCTACATAGAATCATATATTTTCAGGCCAGAAATGACCACTATGATCATCTAGTCCAGGGTGGGCAATAATTTTCGCAGGGGGGGGCACTCCACAAATTTCGGTAAGTTGCCATGGGCCACACATGTCTACTATATTAATGGAGGGGATGTGGGGTCTGGGAGGGAGTTTAGGTGCAGGAGGGAACTCTGGGCTGGGGCAGGAGATTGGGGTGCAGGAGGGGGTGCAAGGTGCAGGCTCTGGCTGGGAGGCACTTACCAGAGGCGGCTCCCAGCCGGTGGTGTAGCAGGGCTCAGGCAGGCTGCCTGCCTGCCTGCCATAGCCCCACACTACTCCCAGAAGCGGCTGCTGGTGGCTGCTGCTGGCACGTCTCTGCCTGCCCCTTGTGGGGGAGGGGCAGCAGGTCTCCATGCACTGCCCGCGCTTGCAAGCACCGCCCCCGCAGCTCCCATTGGCCAGTGTCCAGCCAATGGGAGCTGTGAGGACAGTGCTGCGAGCAGGGGCAGCGCGCAGAGCTGCCTTCTCTCCCCTCCCTGCCCCGCCAGGGGCATGCAGAGACATGCCAGCAGCAGCCGGCCACTTCTGGGAGCAGCGTGGGGCCACGGCAGGCAGGAAGGCAGCCTGTCTGAGCGCCCGGCTGCACCACGGGACTTTGAGCAGCCCAGACTCGGAGATCATGAGGGGGCAGAGGAGGCCGGACAGAAATGTTAGTCAAGGCGGGCTGGACAGAAATGTTAGCTGGACCAGATCCGGCCCGCGGGCCGTACTTTGCCCACCCCTGATCTAGTCTGACCTCCTGCATAAAATAGGCCACACGATTTCTCCCAATGATCCCTGCATCAAGCCCATAACTTATGGTTGAGCTAAAACATATCTTATGCTCTCTGCAAACAAAAGACTTTAGACTGCCAAAAATCAAAGAGAGAAGAGTTACAAGAGTAGTATTTTGAAAAAGAAAAGTGAACTAAAGACATTTAGTCTTTTAGAATCATATGCCAACACATTCATTGTCTTCAAGTAAACCAGGCATGTATGTATACTTATAACTGGACAGCTATTAAAAAATTCTGAACAGTCAAATAGTGATATAGAATAGGAATGATGGGCCAACTCACCCCTTTCCACAAAAAAGCCTGCAGAAGTGAGACAAATGGAAGAAAACTCTTGAAAGTTCCTCTTCTGAAGTTTTCTCTGAACCTTTCCCCCAGGAGGAAAGAACAGTTATGTTCCCCATGGGACAGACAGGAAGTTTGGTTCCCAGAATCCCCAGATCCATAAAGGTTCTGGAGGGCAGGGCCACCTATGCAGAGACTTCGGGACAGCCCAGCTCCATCAGGAGTTTCACAGCAGGGAGAGGCGCCACAGAAAAGCTAATGCAGCCTAAGATTACATTACTTTTTTCACAGATTCCAATACTTTTGTTTAGGGATGATGGCTCCAGAGCAGCTGCCCCCTGTCCCACAACCCTGTTCCATGCAAGGAGAGGAGCCTCTGTATGTGGATTTCAAGGGATTGTTGGCATTGTTTAAAATTAAACTGAACTAAAATTTTTTGGCATGAAATAAAAGCTGAGGACGAATGGTGAGTGATGCCAAAGAGTTACAACAGGAAAATCTCAGTGCTAAATATTTATGAGAAAGAAAGCAAATAAATCTGACTTTGCAGGCTGCCCAACACCATTAATTCACTACATTATTATTATTTTACTTGCAAACCAAAACAAACGATCTTGATGCAATCAACAGAATGTGTATGACATCAACATTTTTAAAACAACATACAAAACATACAACTTTTAAAATATCTTACCCAAGATATGCATTCATGCTGTGAATATTCTCTGGAAATGGCTTTCCACTCTCCATATCTGTGATACCATCTCCTTTTAGGTTGTCTTTCTGTTAAAACATCCAGGTCTATGAATATTTTACAGTATTAAATATCAGACAACAGCAAATATCCATCTTTTCGTAACTCGAGGCAAAATGGTACTGTTAAAATACCTAACAAAAAGTAAATCACTTTAACAAACACTGTCCAATAAGAGGCCGAGTTAATCCTTTTTCATCAGAGCTTTCGTGAAGTCGGAGGAAACAAAGTCTTCAACTTCAAAGATAGTAAACCTACACAATTTATCAACTCATTGTAAGTTACAATTTCTTCAGATGTCCTTAACACATTTAAAATTGAACATAATCAAACCCTTTCCACAGAAATATCTGCTGTAATCACAGTAGTTGCAAGGTCAGAAAATGAAGCTAGTGTTAAGGCTCAGGCCTCACCTCACTGGTTTCAGTAGCACAATATCAATTCAGTCTTACAGTGGATAGCTGACAGTTCATTAATTGTGGAATAACTCTGGGATCACATGCAATATTTGGATCTGGATTACCTATCTAAACAACCTTTCTGAGAACCTAACTTCTAATCCTAGACAGCTGTCAACATTACAGGTGCCGGCAGGCCTTCTGTATTGACCCAGTTAATAAACTGGATTTTAGTGGCTTGATCTTTGACCTTTTCTCTTCAGTACATCCCTATTTCTCATTACCAAAGCTAATAAAGACAGAGACTACTCTAATTGATTAGCAACTTAGCATTTGACAAAAATCTTCACTTCTGCTACATTTATTTTTATTAAGTGTAAGATTGGAACTTTACACACACTAAATTTTTATCACACTGCATTGATCAATTTAAAATGTTTGGTGTCAGCAATACATATCATTAGAGCCCTGCAAATCTAGATATCTGCTTTACATCTGAGGACCATGTTCATGAATCGTGGATCGGACGCAGATACAAATTTTGAATCCGCACAGGGCTCTAATTATCATCTACATAACTATGTGTCACTCATTTGATAACTGGACTAACAAATTAGAGAATCTAAATGCTGACTGCAGATCAGGAATGTCTAAACTGTGGTCATGGGATGATCAGAACAGCAACATACCAAAGGTGAATTCCTGGCTCCATTAGAATCAATGACAAAATCCCCACTGACTTCAGTAGGGTCAGGATTTCACCCCAGAAGCCAAAGGGTTGCACCTAATTTGTAAACAATGGAGCAGATTCCAGCTTTCTTCACATTTAATGGCATGCTAGGAACTGTACAGGGGCGGCTCCATGTTTTTTGCCACCCCAAGTCTGGTTGTCAGGTGGCTCTCGGCAGCGCGCCTGAGGGCAGTCCACTGGTCACGGCGATTTGGCGGCATGTCGGTGCCGCGCCTTCGGCGTCCCCGCTGCCGAACTGCCGCCGAAATCGTGGGACCGGCGGACCTACCACAGGCATGCCGCCAAAGGCAACTTGACTGCCGCCCTCACAGGGACCAGCAGGCTGTCCCCCGCGGCTTGCCACCCCAGGCATGCGCTTGCTGCGCTGGTGCCTGGAGCCACCACTGGAACTGTAGTGTCTGTTGGCCATGCCCCTGTATTAATAATTTGAGAGGGTGCAGGCCAATCTGTGACACTTGAAGTACATTTGAACAACACTGTGGCCATCTCTGTCTTAAGTTATACCAGTTTTCCCATCAAGTGTAACATACAGTGCACTGAAATATCTAACAGTTTTCTGCTAGACTTCCTGAGTTAAAGGGAAAATAATCACATCTGCAAAAGATATTATATGAAACACAGCATTTTCCATTCTAATTCTCTTGGTTTTTGCATAGGCGGTCTGCATATAGAGGGAAAATGCAGCCTCTTAGCACAATATTACCTAGATTTCAAATGTCTTAAGGCACCCAAACGGCAAACCTACCAACCATAAACTACCTTAGACTTAATTACAATAAGTTACCTACTAACGAAACCAACTAGTACTTTATAAGCTACAGTAGAACCTCCGAGTTACGAACACCTTGGGAATGGAGGCTGTTCGTAACTCTGAAATGTTTATAACTCTGAACAAAATGTTATGGTGGTTCTTTCCGAACTTTACAACTGAACATTGACTTAATACAGTTTTGAAACTTTACTATGCAAAAGAAAAATGCTGCTTTCCCTTTATATTTTAGTAGTTTACATTTAACACAGTACTGTCCTGTATTTGCTTTTATTTTATTTTTTTCTCTCTCTCGGCTGCTGCTTGATTGTGTATTTCCAGTTCCAAATGAGGTGTGTGGTTAACCGGTCAGTTCGTAACTATGGTGTTCATAACTCTGAGGTTCTACTATATTGGAAGCAGTCAACAGACATGAAGCTTTGAGTCTGTGCAAACTATGGAATGTTCAAAGAGTCACTATTATTTAGTCTATACGGCAACTAGAAATTAAAAATAGCTTAGGGCTAAATCCTGCCTTCTCTGCACTCAGAGAGCCTTATATACAGTGGCTGAGCTTCTGTGCAAAGTGGACAAGGACTTGCAGACCTGATGCATGTGGGGTTACACCTTCTGCAGACTGCCAAGTCTAGGTACTACAGTGTTTGAAGCAGGCCAGGGTATCTGCCATTACAGGTATCCTCCAGGCAAAAGTAATTGAGCATCTCTACTATCTCTCCACAGCCAAAAGCAAAGTGACTACTTAGACTCGGCACAAGGGGAGTTGGAGCAGACTTGGGGTGAAATTCTGGCCCCCTGAAGTCAATGGCAGAACTCCCACTGATTTTCGTAGGGCCAGGTTTCACCCTTGGACTTTATTATTAACTTTTATTTTAAATGGATCTGAAGCAAATCATTCCCTTTAAAATGAATTATTTTTCTAACACACATAATTTATGTAGCATCATTCATGAGCAGCTGGGGAAAACTGGACATTTTTCTCAATGTTAAACATACTAGAAATTCAAATGTCCTGTCTGATTACTAAACATTTTCATCTTGCCCCCACAAATAAATATCTACTTTTGTAACATGAGCCACTAGAAATACTAGCATGATTAGAAACAGAGGGCCTGCTATTAGTACATTAGAATCCAAAACTAGTCTTACAGTGTCAGCTCAAAAAGCAGAATTCATTAGCTTCTAGGCACACTCAAGTTACTATTTAGCTATACTAAACACGTCAGTTTTGTGAATATACCACTAAGAACTGAAACACCAGAGCCACTTTAGACTCTTGCAATCTCTCAGATCAGATAACTCATGCCTTCTGAGTTTAACAAATAGAAAACATGATCTCTAGTAGTGATTATGGAATCAGCTGTGTCTGCAATCAATCTAGCTCATTTAAGTTAAATTTGATTTGAGTAATATACATTTAACTTTGTGCATGCCATATATAAAACAGACCAAGGATAGAGGCTATTTTCTCAAATAATGATGCAATGTATAATAATTAATTAAACAAAAGTGAAGCTCCCAATGACACCACATATTTTAAATGTCATCCCTGTGCTGTATGAAAGAATTAATCAAACTTCCCACACTTTTACTGAGCCATAAAACATCAATAAAATACCTCGCCCATCAGATCATCTCCAGCAACAACAGCTATTTTCAAATCAACATCAGCTTTCTTTGCCACCTCTTGAAGATGAGCAGCACACCCAAGTGGATTCATTCCACCAGCATTACTAATGACACGAACACCTTAACAGAACAAAAAGTTCAGTGTTAAAACCACCAGTTATACTACAAGGCTTAACACCCTGAGCCCCAGGATGCACTGTTGCATGTTGTCAAGCACTTGATCAATCAGAACAATAAACCAAATGTTGTGCTTTCTTATCAAGTCTACAGATAAACAGAGTTGTGACTGGTGCAACTCTGAAACCTAATCATAATTTAAACGTCTACACTGTTCACTACTTCACTGAAGACTCTTGGGCAGAAACATACAGCTATTCTAACATTACAGGCATAATCTGGAATTATGAGAGGATCTTAGGGAGATTAGTACTACCTTTTACCCACAAATCTGACTTCTAAGGAGTTGTGAAGAAAACTGGTATGGCTGCATACTATTAGTATAAACCTTCTATTAGTATAAATCAGTATGTCTCTTCCACCAACAGAAGTTGGTCCAGTAAAAGTTATTACTTCACCCACTTTGTCTCTCTATTAATATAAACAGATAGAGATGGTCAGGAATTTTTAATGACATGTTTTTTCATTGGAAAATGCTGATCTATCAGAACCGAAACTGTTCACAGGAAAGGGTTTGTTTTGATAGATTTTTGATTTTAGACAAAATTTTGAAAAAAAGTTTAAAATTGTCTAACCATCCTGTTTTGACACTTTCTAAATGAAAAAGTTGGATTTCAGTTTGAAATGACTTTTCATTTTGAAATGTAATTTATAGTAAAAAAAAAGTAGAAAAATAAAAAAGTTGAAATCAAAACAAAATGTTTCAGAATTATCAAAGTGAAACATTTCATTTGACCCAGTCAATTTTTTTTTCCAGATTTTCTGTTCACTAAAGTTTTCAAGATACTTGCCCCAATTCAGGATGGGGAATGTTTTGGATTTTTTTTTTTCAAATTCTGAAAATTCTCTGGGATGGGAAAACCATTTCCCACCTCACTCATTAAACAGTTAACATGAAACTGGATAAAAGTACATCTCAAAGGAGACAAGAAAAATGTAATTTCCCTTTTAAAATAAACGCATAGCTCAATTTATACAGTAAGTAATATATAGTGTATTAGGTAAGGGAAAATGAGAATTCCCTTTGCTGAATGTTTTCATTCAAACCATAGAAAAAACAGTCAGACTTCCTATATTCAGCTTTGAAGTAACAAAGTACACAATGAAGATATGAACACTAAGGGTCTGATCTTGTGAGGTCCTGAGCACCCCCAACTAATACTGAAGACAATAGTAGTTAAGAGTGATGAGCACTTCAAAGATCAAGCTATAAATTATTAAAGTTATCCAACCCATATTATTCAATAACATACCTTTCCTGTGAATGTCCTTAATATAGGGACCCATTGCAGTCAACACAAAATCAGGAGTGTAACCCAAATCCTGAAATAATAAAAAGTTATATAATGTACTTGCCAAATCTTCGTCATGGGTAAATCAACTCCTTCTCTTTATTGGCTCTTAGATTGCAGAAAAGATTGAAAAACGACCTATATTCATTTTCTTAATTCTATAATTAAAAATGGTGGATTTATTTTTCTAAAGGAAACCTGGAAAACATTTCTCTAAAGTAAAAAAATCCTTAAGAATATACACCTCTACCCCGATATAACGTGACCCGAAATAACACGAATTTGGATATAACGCGATACAGCAGTGCTCCGGGGGGGGGCAGGGCTGCGCACTCCGGTGGATCAAAGCAAGTTCGATATAACGCGGTTTCACCTATAACGCGGTAAGATTTTTTGGACAGTGTTATATTGGGGTAGAGGTGTATAGGTTAACATAAATACAACACAAATGGACATCAGATTATTTTCACAGGAGTCTAATTATATATTTCAAATACCACTATTTTTAATCAGCTTTTGGAATCATACAGGGAACAATTGATCTAATCAATTCCATTTATAAAGTAAAATACAAAATATATTTACAACATACAAAAAAACACTTCACAACTATCCCATTCAAGGAGAAGTTTTATTGAAGCCATATGAATTGAGACAATGCATTCAAATTTCAAGCCATGTGTGCCTAACTCTCTGCTGGCGTAAACTGACGGAACTCCTTTGAAGGCAATGAAGTTCTGCCAGTTTCATTAGCAGATATTTGGCCCATTGTTTTTAACATTAAATTGAATTCATCCACAATCTAATGGGACTACTCATGTGACTAAAATTACTCATATGCCTATATCTTTGCAGGATCAGGGCCTAAGGACTCAACCCTGCTCCCACTGAAGATAATGGGAAAACTCCTTTGGAATTCAATAGGCCTGACCTTATGAGGGACTGACCAACTGCTGAAATAATAAAGGCTAATGATGTTTAGTACCACTCAAGATTCCACCCTGAAATTGATATATGAATGGTGAGGGATAATTTCCTCCTCCACTGAAATGCAGTGATCTCTGGAGCAGCCAAGATCAAATATTTGAATCTCAAATTTTGTTATAATATGTTTATTAAACTTATGAAGCTATTGTACTATTACTATGTTTATATTAAAGGGCATCTTATATTCAGACATGACTATAATTTACAGAATAAGAATGAATAATGGAAACTACAATGACTACTCCTGAGGGCATTCTGCGCCAAAAAAAGAAAAATTATGTGCAGAGTATTTTAAAATTCTGCAAAATTCTGCAAATTTTATTTGTCAAATAAATGTGGAGGCTCCAGCATGGCATTGGGGAGCACAGGCAACTAGCTGCACAGAGGTGGGAGATCACTGTGCAGCTCCCCGCCCAGGACACGGACTCAGCGATGAAGCTGCACCCAACCCTGATACAGTGCAAGGACCGGGCCTGTCCCAGAAACACCCCAGGGCCCTGCCCCTCCACGCCAGGTGAACCATGCGTGGGCAGGCAGGCTCAGCAAAGCAGGATCCAAGTGTGGAGGGGCTTAGAGTGGGGGGATCCGGGTGTGGAGTGGGGGGGGGATCTGGGTGCGGGGGAGATCTGGATGCACAGGGACTTGTTGGGGGGTTCTGGGTGCAATGGTAATGGGACTCTGCAGGGGGATCCAGGTGAAGGTGATTGGGGCTAAGCGGGGGGAGCCTGGGTGTGTGGGGGCGCAGTGGGGGGGGTCCAGATGCTGGGGGAGTGGGGCTCAGTGGGGTGGGGATCCAGGTGCAGCTGGGTGGGGCTCGGTGGGGTGGGGATCCGGGTGGCTCTGTGGGCTGATACACATGCAGGGGGAGTGGAGCTCATCAGGAGGGTTCTGAGTGCAGGTGGGGGTTTGGCTCAGCAGGAGAGACTGGGTATGAGGGGGTCTGGATGCACGGGGTAGGGTGGCTGGGGGAGCAGCTTCATGTATAGGGATCCCTCCCCCTGCAGCTGAGGAGCAGGGGGTACAGGAAAGGGGGGGGGGGAGGGGAGAGTTTGCAGAGCTTCCTGTAGCTGGGGGAGAAATCTGGTGATGGTCTGACCCGGTCCCAGAAGTCGTGCAGAGGAAGAGGAAGTCCTGTCCTCTCCAGCCTAGCCAGCACTAGCAGCTAAGCCTGGCGCAGGGTAGGAGCCACCAGCCGGATCTTCCCCAATCCTGCCCCCTGCCCCACAGTGATTTACCTCTCTGCCGGCTGCCCTGGGCATCCGAAACATACTGCTGGGTAGGGTCGCGTGACCGCTCTTGTGGCTACCCTTTGCTTCCCCGTCAGAAAGTCATTTTCCTGCAGGGAAGCAAAGAAATCTGCAGGGGACATAAATTCTGTGCATGCATAGTGGCGCAGAATTCCTCCAAGAGTAAATAACACTCTGATCTTCCAATATGTTTGTATTGCAATTAACAGTCTCTTTCTAATAGAGCTATATTGCTGATATTTCTTAGTAGTAAGATTTTATGGTTAGTCAATCAAATCAGATCTGCCATCTGTCATCTCAAACTAAAATAATCAAGACTAAATGTTTGCACTGTAAGACTATTAACATTCTCCTATGTTAATACTAAGTACCTACTCCTGCATATTCTTATTCATGCAAGTAGTCCCAGGAGTGTTGGCTGGATTGGGCCTGATTTATTTTAAAATCTTAATGTTTGTATGATAATGCTTTCCAGCCAACTGTCCTGCATCACTCAGCAACTGCAAAGATTTGAAGCACTTTTAAAACATTGATCACTTTGTGACGATATCTGAACATTTCAAACAGCGCAGACTGTAAAACTTAGTTAACTAAATCAAACCATCAATTATACAATTCTTGTGATTCCTTTCTCATGTGAAATTGCTTGAATTATTATTTCATAATTAAAATCATTCTTTCCTTACCGGTGATTTGGCTTTTGCAGCTGTCAACAGAGACATTGTAATTTCAGAAAGATAATCAAAAACTAGAAAATCCAGTTTTCCTCCATAGAGAAGCTGAGGAACTAATCAAAAAGATATTAAGTAACTCTTAGTTGGAAGTCATATTTTACAATAAAAGCCATTTCATTTTCAAAAAACAAAATCAGAAAAACATACATTACTGCAAAGCATGAAACAATATATTAATGATAGAAATATCACTTTTAAGATTTTGGGCCCAATCCTGCAAACATACATGCAAGGTATTTTACTCACTTAACCAATTCCGTTAGAGTCAACGTGTGAGCAAATTACTCACATGAGTAAGTGTCTGTAACATTGGACACTAAATATTTTGTTGTTTGTGGGCTGATGCTTAGTGTTGTGCTGTGATCACTGTTTTATTTATGTATGGGAGAGGAAGGGGAAACAGTTTTTAAAAAACAAACAGTCCAAACACAAAGCACTGTACCTATATCTAGAACTATACCTACAACATAGGGGTGGGGGGAATGAGGCCCTATGCTGGCTTTGCCAATACCACTAGAGATGCTCATGCCAATCAAGTTGGGCTGACAATGTTCTGAGTTTAGGTATCCCTTGCTGGGAGGCGCCTCGCGCGGGACGGGAGCTGACGGAGGGCGGGCTCTACAAACCCCCTCTCGTGCGGCTGTGTCAGCCCCCACCCCAGCGGCGCTGGGCCAGCTTTACTCCTGTGTCTGGGCTCGAGCGGAGCAAGGCAGCGGCTCTCATCTTGCGCGCCGCGGGCCCCATCCGCTTCCGGTGACAAGAGGGTTGTTGTGCCGGGCTTATCACCCCACCCCAGCGCCATGGGCCACCCCAGCCGGGAGGCCGTGCGGTGCGGTGCGGTGCGGTGTGCGCCGGGGGCGGAGGGGAGCTGATGCATCTCCCCACCCCTCTGCCCGTCCCCCCAACGCCGGTACCTGAGGCCGCCGTGTCTCCCCAGAAGCCCGCAGCGCAGCCCACCCGCACGGCCGCGCCCGCCTGGGGCTCGCAGGAGCCGCCGCCCAGGTTGCTCCAGCGGCGGCGGCTGCTTGTTGCCCGCAGAAGCCGGGGGGCAGCGGCGCCCCTCAGCCCCAGCAGCGCGGCGGCGCAGCTCATGGTGGCGCCGGGCGAGCGAGGCCGGGGCGGGAGGCGGAGGCGAAGGGCTGGGCCGCTGCTGACTCAGCCCCGGGCCCGATCCGGCTCCCGCGGCTGGATCGGTGCTTCCTAGTCCCCACCACCAGGGCCGAGGGGAGCTGGCCCTGCCTTGGCTCTGGGGCAGAGGCCCTGGGCTGGTAGCACTACGGCCCCTACAGCTAGTGACAAATTAGCCCTTCCTATCTCCTTCTACTGAAAAGTGTCACCAACCCGGCCTCTTCGACCATGTGTGAAAAACAACAACCCAACCCCTGGCTCCTGCTGCAGGCCACCTCGGTAGCCTGTGGGCAAAGAGACAAAAGCAGGAGGATATGCTAGTTATTGAGCCACCAAAATGTGCTAGGCCCTGTACAGCAATAGAAAGGCAGAACTACAGCCTCAAGAAGTTTGCAATTTAAAAAAAGCTGCAGCCAGACAATGATTGGAAAAAGGGATGCAAGGTGCAAGCAGAACGATCAGGGTGGAAATTGGCTCTGAGGTATTACTTTCAGTGGAAGGAGTGGTGTCTGTATTTTAACATATATGATCCCAAGTCCTCCTCTAGAAAGCCTGCACATGAACACACTTGATGCCACAAGGTGATCAGGGAACCATTCTTGGGGCATAGCTAAACATTCCTCACACCTTGAAGAATGAAACTGAACTAGCCAGAGTCCCCTTTTCTTCAGTTAGCTTTACTTTATAATTTTTATGCATGCACAGTAGTGTAGCTAAGTTTTTAATATTACAAATGAATTTTAAAAATTGATTTTTATCCAATATCACTGTAATATCTGAGCACATAAGAAACATAAATCAATTTGTCCAGGCAACAACTAAAGCAGAGATGATGTAGATCATTATCCCTGTTTGACAGATGGGGAACTGAGGCAGAGAGAGAGAGTAAGTCATTTGCCCAAGGTGACAAAAGAAGCCTGTGGCAAAGACAATAATTGCAGTCAGAGCTCCCAAGTCCTAGTCCAGTGTATTTACCACAAGACCATCCTTAAAACCTACATCCTAAACTATTTCAAAGTGTTTCTTTAAACCAGGAGCTAATGTAACTCGCATTCTGTCCTAATTGATTCAGAATGCTGGCTGCACTCAGGGTGGATTGATTTAAATCACCAGGTGGAAAGCCTTGATTTAAATCATCAATTTTTATCAGCTTTTCCATTGGTAGGTCAGTTATTTTCTAAGAAAGGTGCATTCTCATTGGTTGATATAATTATAAAAACATCAGAGGGGTAGCCGTGTTAGTCTGAATCTGTAAAAAGCAACAGAGGGTCCTGTGGCACCTTTGAGACTAACAGAAGTACTGGGAGCATAAGCTTTTGTGGGTAAGAACCTCACTTCTTCAGATGCAAGTAATGGAAATCTCCAGAGGCAGGTATATATCAGTGTGGAGATAACGAGGTTAGTTCAATCAGGGAGGGTGAGGTGCTCTGCTAGCAGTTGAGGTGTGAACACCAAGGGAGGAGAAACTGTTTCTGTAGTTGGATAGCCATTCACAGTCTTTGTTTAATCCTGATCTGATGGTGTCAAATTTTGCAAATTTTTGCTAGCAGAGCACC